CATGGCTCAGTCCCCCTTCACCCAGTCTGGGCTCCCTGCCCAGGCAGGATGGCCAGGCAGAGGTCCGTCTGTCCACCCTCCCTAGGCCAGCCGCCAGACATTGAGCTAGTCAGGTTTGTTGTGCTGGCGGGCAGGGAGAAGAGAGACCTGGGGAGAGGAGGTGGGCTGAGCTTCAGCCTGCTGGACCAAGTAAACACCATCCCTGGGGGAGACGACAGGGAGAGCCAGAGCAGAGCGGGACAGAGAGCGCCCGTTTAGGGAGGGAGTCCTAGGGAGGAAGCTCATGGTGAGGGGAAAGCCCAGCTTGGCCTCCCAGACCCATGACCCAGCTGCCCAGCTATGTCCGAGTGCCTCTGCAGACTGTAATTACTCCTTCGTGGGTGATTGTGATCCCCATCTGTCATCTCCCCCTACCCATGAGCTCTGCAAGGGCAGGGATGGAGTCAGTCTTGATCCTTTCTGTGGCTCCACAGCTACCGACGGTAAGCACTCATGAATGTTTGCTGAATGACCAGTGGACTGGCTCTGTGGGGGCGGGGGTGTGTGTACGTGTGCAGCTGAAAGAGCCTACGTGCGCACCCCTCCCCCACACTCCTCTCCACCTCTTTAGCAGCCTGTCCCCTCCGCAGGGTGGACACCCCCAGCGGGAGCCCCCACGGGCAGCAGGGTGGGGTGTGTAAGCAGCTGCCCCGCTCCGGAAAGTGATTACTAACACTGTGCATCCCTCCCTCCACGGGGGACAGCTGGGGGAGATTTCACACATGCGGGGCTTCTAGGAACTCCCTTCCCTGGAACCACACCCCTACCCCCTAGACCCACTCCTGCAGTCTGCTGGGGTTCTGGAGCCTACAAGGGGGGCCAAGGCGAGGGGGCTGCGGCCGAGGGCATTCCCAGCTGTCCTTGATTTGTGTGGGGTTTTTCCACTTCAGATGCCGGATTTGCCTGAGCACATAGAGGATGCGGTTTCCTCCTGGAGAGGAACCCCTGAGAGACGTCTACCCACGACCCCCCCCCACGCCCTGGGAGCCCACTGTTCCCACCTCACCCTGGTAGGGAGCACTGGGGGTGGGGGGGGTGGCACGTGCAGCCCAGCTCAGTGCTTAGAGGTCCTTGCTGTCACCCAGCTCTGCCCCCTCCCAGCAGGGGAACTTGCAGCTATCAAGTCTCCCTGAACCTCACTTTCCTACTTTAGAAAGCAAAGATGACACTAGCCCCCATCTCTCCAGGTGCCTAGCTCCCAAGCCGTTTATGATAAGGAGGCAGTGGACGAGTGACGGGGACCCCAGCACAGGGGTGCCCTGAAGCTTCTCCCGCCCTGGCAGACCTCACTACTCATAATTCATCTTCCCTGGAGACAAGACTGGAGAGGAAAGACTTTCCTGGGGCCTGGCTTCCTGGTGACCAGCTCCCCCTGGGGACAGTGGGGCACAGAAGGCTTTGCCAAGGCAGATGAGATTCCCAGTGTCAGGAGAGACAGATGAAGAGGTTCCCTTGGCCAGAAGTGGGGAGGAAGGAGGGCCTCCGGGATCAGTAGCCACACAAGCGGTCACACACCTGCAGGGAGCCTGCCTGAGGCCGCAGGATTTGCCGAAAGAGGCCAGACCCCTCTCCTGCGCAGGTAGGGCCACCAGCTGGCTTCCAGCCCCCTCACTCCTTTCCCTTAGGTCTTCCTGGAGCCATCAGCACAGAGTGGGCAGGGATAACAATATAGCAATCCTTCCAGGGTGCAAGAGGGGCTTGCTGGCAACAGCCTGTATCCTCAAAATGAATCTAAAGGGTCTCATGCAGACAGGACTCTCTCTGCCCCCACACCATCCCCACTTCCTGCAGCTTCACAGCCCCAAGCCAGGCCTCTGAAAGCAGACGCCGCTCAGCATCCTGGGGAAGGCTGGGTATCATCTCAATGGTCCCCACATCAGGGCACTGGGGCTCTGGGGCCAGATCTAGCCATCCATGCCCTATCGAGAGTCCCCAGGGATGACACGGTGACTGTGAGCACATTCCATTGGGAACGAGGAAGCAGGTGCAGGCTCAGGAGCCCCGTGCTCTGCAGAGGGCCCTGGACCGTGTGTGCACGTGGGGTGTATGTGTGTGCGGGTGTGCACTGTGGGGGGTGTTCACAGGCTTGCCACTGGTTCCCAGCCACCTGTCCCAATGTGGGAAGCCCCAAGTGTGCAGCTCTCCACACACCGGTGACCTAGGCCCAGAAGCAAGTCCAGCCTGGCCGGTGGACGGGACACCAGAGAAGGCCACACTCCATGCCCCCTCATTTCCAGGGGAAGCACGCCACCAGCACAGTTGGCCAGACAGGCATGCAGCCAGTCTTGTCAGGCTTGGCCCTCAAGGGAGACCCAGAACCCAGCTGCCAGGACTGAGCTTCTTGGGGCGGGCGCCTCAAACTCCTCCCCTTCACCAGCCCCCGCCCTAGGATGCAGGCTTCCTGGTCTGACCAGAGGACCCTGAAAATTGACCCCCCACCCCCTCCTCAGAGAACAGTGACTCTGTTCCCTACACCGGCCCTTGCCGTCCTCCCTCTGACTCCAGCTTCCCTGCTCTCCCCATACCTCCAGACACACATCAGGGGTTCCTGGTCAGAGATGGGGGTCCAGCAAAAATCCACAGTGTCTAGACTAAGGGAACAAAAAGCCACTAGAGTCAGAGGTGGAGGGCACAGCCCAGGCAACAGGCAGACTGCACCATGGGCGTGCAGAGCCCACAGGGCCCTATCTCCTGCTACTCCCGCTCCCGAAATGCAGCTGCCAAGCCCTTTGAAGCCAAGAGTAGCTTGTAAACGTCGTCGTTGGAGATGAAACATGATAAGACATGAAGACGGGCTGAAGCATGGATAATCTCTGCAGTTTTACAAGGAACAAATCACGCCTGGAGACAGACCTTGGGGGATGGTGAGGGCTTGGGGTGGAGGGAGCCTATCTGCAGGTAACCCTCGGCCCCTCCCCTCCAGTCAGCTGCAGGGGGCCCACCAACTGTCTTCTCTGTGCCTCTGGCCCCTAAGCTCTGGTAAGCAGAACCCTAGGGCCAGGGTAGGGTGGTCAGTGGTCCTGGGGTCCCTGCATTTCCCAGACCACGGACACACTCATGGAGATGTGTGGCTTGGCTCACTCATCCAGATAGAGGGAGTGGGCAGAAGTAAGTGGAATCTGGTATCTGTTCGTTGGTTGCTCAGGGCTCAGCATTTGGGAAGGGAATGAGATGAAGGTGCTGTGGTCTCTGACCTGGGCACGGGTGACACCTGCAAGGAGACAGCAGGGACCCATTCTGTGCACATGTATAGGAGACCTGCCCAGGGCCCCTGCGGTGGGGGGGAAGGAGAGAGCCACCAGGAGAGGCTTCTAGAAGGATTCTGGCACATAGGGAGGGGATGAGGAAGAAGGAACAGCAAACTGGAGAAGGCAGGAGCACAGGGGCATGTTTTAGAAAGGAGTCTGGCTGGCTGTGAGGCCCGGGTGCAAGGGTTCTGGGTGCCGGGGGTGTGGATAATAGAAACCGCATAGTTATGGTGCATGACTCTGCTATCATCCGGGGAGTGGAAATCTAGCTGGAGAAATGGGGTCTGTGGGACCAGAGCCAGCAGAGTCTGGGGGAACCGCTGAGGGAAGTTTGTGGTGTGTTATTTTGCAAAGATCACAGCAGTTGGGGGAGGCTAGCTCGGGGCCAGGCAAAGATGCGTGGGAGGTGGGAGCCCGGAACCTGGTGCCCCAGGTGGGCCGGGGCATGGAAGGGCCGCGGGGAGGGAGAGGCAGGGGGCGTCGGTGCACGTGGGTCCCGCCAGGCTGCCCTGGAGTAGGGGCTGGAAGCGTCCTGCAGCCGTCCCACCTCCCCCACCTCTGTCCCGCTCCAGCTGACTCGGGCCTCGACTGCTCTCCCTGTGCCCGTCACTTTTGCGAAGCCCACCAGATGGGCCCTGCACCCTCGGACACCCGGAGACCTCAGCCTGTGTCCCGGGTACTGGCATGTTAGGCCTCAGTCTGTGTCCCAGGTACTGGCATGAGGGGCCCCGGGGACGCCGACGCTGACCACGGAGCGCCTCGGGGGTCGCGGGGCCCTGGGCCGCAGCGCGGACCCGTCCTCATCGTCGGAGATGCCGCTGCACCCCTGGCGGCGTCTCGGGGAACTGCAGGGCCTGGCCGACCCGGCCTGGGGCACGCGCAGCGCGGAGCGAGCTCGCCCCCTGCCAGTGGGTGCTGCGCACGGTGCCTGCGTCCCTACCTGGGGAGGGGTCCTTGACCACGGGTGCACTCGGAAGGGGGTCATCGCCCTGGGTCCCCTACCAGGACATCGTATGAGGGTGGGGGCACGGTGGCGGGCTTGGCGGTGACCTTCGCTGACCTCTCTGGGGGCGCCTCCTCCCACTTGCCGGCCCAGCCCACAAACAGGCCTGGAGTCAGGGGGTTCCTGGGACCTAGCCATCGGCAGCACTCCCACCGGGGTCACGGCTGTCCCTGGCACTTGTCACTCAGAAAAATAGAAAGCCATGAGTGAGCACAAGCCTCACGCACTGTCAGTTCACTCACGCCCTCCGCTGTGGGCCCCTGCAGGGGATCAGTGGGATCCCAGACATTTGTCTTCTCTCCCGCCAGTGCCTTGCCCTGGGTGCCCCTGCGTGCACGGGCCTGCCGGCTGCTGGTGACTGGGGTTGACAGAGCACCACGAGCTGTCTGCCCCTGAACAGAACCCTTGGCTGCAAGGCTGTGCCCTGGAGGTTCCACTTGGCACGGAAGGGGGCACTGGTGGGGGATGGCGGGAGCTGGGTTCTCAAAGAGTCTTTTGTTTCTCAAGGAGGAAGCAGGGCTGCAGGCCAAAGGGGATGGTGTAACCCAGCAGAAGGAAGGGGGTAGGGGGAGATTTATGATTCCACAGGAGACACCTCGCTCCCACCCGGCCCCCGGCAGACAGACCCTGCTCATAGCCATCCATATCCAAGCTCCTGATGAAAGGGGACCTCAGGGCTTTGGGGCCCACCCTTCTCCCACCACCCCTCCAAGGACCCTGCTTCCAGCCCTCCCCACTGCCAGGGAACCTGGATGTGTGGGGGTGTGCTTGGAGCCCGGTAGTCAGGCATTTTGCTCTCACGGCGTCTCTCCCAGCCTCACCAGCCCCAGCACCAGCCCAAGACACCCATAGTTCCTTCAGCCCACCCTGCTATAGATCCGGCCCCGGAAAGCCAGCCCCAGGGCCATGTCCTGGACACATCGGTCCAGTTTGCAGAAGGCCAGCCTGTTCTTGGATCCAGTTCACTCAGGGACATGCTGAGCTAGCATGCTGAGCCAGGAGTGCTGGGAGAGATGAGCAAAGCCCAAAGTCCATCCTAGCCCTGGGCCTGGAGATTCCTGCTAACCACTCAGCGGGCTCCCTCCCCACCGCTAGGCAGCTTCAACATACCTGCTGCCTTCAGACTATGCTCAAAAGGTGGTCACCACCTTCCCAGAGCCACTGTTCCTCATCTGGGGCACAGAGAAGAGGAAAGGGAAAGGTGTGGGCAGAGAGAGCCTGAGGCCTCAGGCAAGTCCCTCCCCATCTCTGAGCCTCCTGTTCCTCCCCTGCAGAATGAGTGCCTGACCCACGACGGTTAGGGTAGAGACTCAGGGCAATGTTGCCCATGGAAGGGCACTAAGCATTCAGTCTCTGCGTACCTACAGTGGGCTTGCCCTCGGCCAAGGCTGGCTGCTAGACTCGGAGTGTGCGGATCACAGGCTGGCCTAGGCAGTGCCCCGGGGCTGATGACGATCCCGGGTGACTAGGGCAGCCCCAACTTGGGACACAGAGGGGCTCCTGCAGGAAGAAGTCAGGCAGAGGTAGGAACTGGAATCATGGGGCAGAGGGCACATCCTCTGCAGTCTCAGGCGGGGGTGGGGGATGTTTCTAGCAGTTGCCATCAGGACTGGCCCCCAGCAGGGCAGAGTTGGAGATGTTTTCTAGAGAGGGAGGCTGCCACGCTGCGGGGAGGGGCAAAGAGCAAAAAGCCCCTCTTGCATGGGGTTCTTTTGCATGGTTCTCCGTGGTGCTTTCTGTCAGTGCTGACCCCTCCCAGCTGCTGCACAACTTCCTCTGTGCAGATGACCACTGGCCAACTCGATGTCCGGAATCTAACCCACAGAGTGACATCTGCTTGGAATCCACACATCTGTCGTCACCCTCTGCCCCACCCCCCACCAGGAGACAGGCTGGATTCCACAGAGGAAGGTTAAGTGCTCCACCCAAGGTCACACAGTGAGCCAGCAGCCCCTGCACAGACCAGCGACCCCCTGCCAGAGCGGGGACCCCTGGTATGTGGCTGGGGATCGGGGGTGGGGGGTGGGGAAGGGCAGTCCCGTCATCAAAGAATGAACAGACCAACAGTGTCACCTGCCTCCCTGCCCCTCCCTCCCCAGCCATTGACACCTCATCCCTCCTCTACCACCCCCACCCTCACACCTGCAGGCCCCAGTCCCCCCAACATGGGGATGCTCCCAGCTGCTGAGTATGTCCACTTCCATGATGCCTTCAGAACTAGGGGATGACCACAGGATGGGCCCCCGGGGAGACAGGCCTGAGCTGAAAGTCCATTGACCGCCCGCCTCCATCAGCCCTCCTCTGACACAGAGCGTGTGTGTCCCCTGGAATTGGAATCAGGCCAGAGCCCGTGTCCAATAGTCCCCGGAAGGTCTGATTATTTCCTTTTCGCTGGTGCACAGCCACCCCAGTATAGGTCCTTTTGGGGAAGGCTGGGGGAAAGATTAACAGTACACAATTTTTGGCCATGTACCAAGATCTTTCCTCAAGGGGACCCAGCCTCCCTGGGTCTGTAAACCGGCTCAAGTCTGGGAACTGACTGAGGGATCATGACTTTGTTTTTATGGTTCAAATTAGACTTCTGTTCACTTGACCTGGAACACTTCTGTTCGTTCAGATCAGTAAGAATTCAGGAGGCTTCCCATCGATTTCATGTCCAGGTACACCGTGACCAGCTCGCCAACGGCCAAGCTCTCTGCGCCTCACACCAACCTGACTGGCGCTCCGACTCCGCGGTCTGTCTCAGGCACCATACCCTCCTTGCCTTGGCCATGTGACCCCTGCCCCTCGGGATCCAGTGATCCCCATTGCATTTCGTTTTCCCAGCTCGCTGCCAGTCCTGTATGTAATTTCTGGCCTCGAGAAGATGCTGGGGTTTGCTCACAATCATGGTGAAAGGCATGTCCTCTGGACCCGAGGTGGGGGAGTGGGTTTTAAAGGATAAACCAACTGTGACACTCCCATGTCCCTAAGCCTTTGGACCCTCCCTCCATCAAAGCAAGGCAGTGCAGGCCGCCTTCCGGGCCATGTCTCAGCCAACCGAGTGACCAAATAGTTCGAGCCCCCTCTCATCCCAAGTTGTACCATTAAACCTCCAATCTCTGCTTGGTGAGCCCCTATCAATAAATTCAGCCTAATCCAACTTTACTTTCCTTTTACCATCATCCCACCCCTTAATATCCATTTTTTAAAGATTTTTTATTTATTTATTTGACAGAGAGAGCACAAGCAGAGGGAAAGAGGAGAAGCAGGCTCCCTGCTGAGCAAGGAGCCCGATGTGGGACTCGATCCCAGGACCCTGGGATCATGACCCGGTCCGAAGGCAGCCGCTTAACTGACTGAGCCACCCGGGCGCCCCCCTTAATATCCATTCTTACACGTTCCTGGATTTGTCCATAGAATTTGGAAAAATCATGTGATTCTTCTGCAGTGTAGCCTACCCCCCATGGGTGGCATTCTGACCTCCCCCCTCAGGGCAGGAGCATGCATCTGTCTGTCGCCTGCCGTCTGTGCCCTCTCAGGGCCTCTCTGCGTGCTCTATGCTGCCACCCGGGAAGCTCCTCTTGCTTCTCTCATCTGTCATTACTGAGATGATCCTCCCGTTGGCATCCTCCTCCCTGACCAGTGGGGCCAAAGCACCAGGCCCCTCATTGCCCCTCCACCCAGTCTAGCATCATTGCTCTGCTGTAGATATTCACAGCCCGACCATCACCTGACGGGAACTGTCCCTCAAACACGCCGGAAGGCCCTGGGGCAGTGAGGCCCGTCTGTCCTATGGCTGCATCCCCAGCAGCAGGCTGCACCTACTCAATGAATATTTGCAGAACAAGTGAAACAAGGTGTCCTGGCATCCCTGAAGGGAATGAAGACAGCAGGCCTGGGTTCCATTTGTTTACTGATCTCCTGAGGACTCCAGGGGGGAGTTAAACTGGGAGGGGCCGTGGCATCACCCACCCCCCCAGGTGTGTGCACGAAGCCACAGCCACCACTTCGTGGGAAGGTGTGAGCTCTGGGCTGTGAGCTCCCCAGCCCTGACCTTGCACAATCAAGGTAATGGAGCAACCACTGTCCTAAGCCTGAGTGAGGCAAGGTGTACCCACCCGGATTGTGAAACAGGGAGGATTTCTTCTCTCAAAACTGAGAGACCAGGGGTCTGTGCCCTTGGCCCGCTCCTCCAGCAGGTCACAGATCTTCACCACTCTGGCTGCCTGGAAGGGTTTCATCAGAGTGCATCATGTAGTGACCGGAGCTGGGGCAGCCGGTGAGGGCTGCCTCCCTTTGCATTCTGTCTCCCCGTATAGCCTGGGGGAGATGGGCACGAGCTTTGGCGAGGGCCAGAGCCCATCTCAGAATCGGGTCCCACAGGGGTGAGTCCAGACAGGCAGGGAGAGGGCAGTGGGCTGAGGAGAAGAGAAGGTGGGGTGTAAGCAAGGCTTACAGCCTACTTCCCTGAGACTCCCATATGAGCAGGAGGCTAAGGTGAGCCCACAGCTGGCCCTCCAGGCTCATCCTGGCAGCAGGCTACGGGCATCATGGCAAACAGTGCTCTTCCCAAAGACAACCTGCGCAAAGCCAAGACCTCCTGATGCTTCAGCCAGCCCCCAACCCCCACCCCGTCTGAATGTCTGGGGTTCCAATTCCAAGGTGCGATGGCCAGAGTGTGACCAGGGCAGTGTCCAGCTGGAATGGGTATGCGCTGCCCACCTACAGCTCCTGAGAGCCAGAAGTTCCTTTGCCTAAAAGAAAGGAGGGAGGGGAGAGAAACACAAGTCACTGCTACATTATGCTTCAGATGCCATCCCGCGCTAGCCAGCCAGCTCCAGCCTGCAGGACCAGGCAGCTGGGAGGACTCAGGCACCCAGCTTGGGGGAGTCTGTGTGCCCCGTTTTGTTATACGATACTTTTCATCAGCTACAGTCCTGCTGGGGGCACATGGGGAGCTGGGATTTGAGCTACAAAGGGTAGGGAGGAGTCCAGAGGGGCTGGCTGGGCAGAGAGACGTGGGCTGGCTTGTGAGCACCTATGTGAGCAGGAGGCCAAAGGGCCAGAAGGGATGCTGTGCTCAGATAAAACTCACATGGGAAACAGCTGCCCAAACTGCCAGCACAGGGAGCCCGGCTTTCCCAAAGGTCAAGGTCGGCCACTTTGCTTTTACGTTTCATTCATACCACACGCCCGTTCCCTAGAGTAATAAGGCAACGGCTTTTCTCATAAGTGAAAATCCCCTTTGGGTTTCTTCCAGTTAGTGAAAACAGGCGCTAATGTATAAGGTCTTTCACAAAAGTGTAGTGGCACAAGGGAAACTTTCAGAAAGCGGGAGATACTCTTCACTTTACACCATTCTGGCTGATGAAAAGTTTCGTAGGAGCAGTCTATTTGCAGAGAGTGGGAGAAACCCGTAGTAAGCATACTGCCCACAGGAGCATATAGCATATTGCCCCCGGGGCACCACGTCAATCCACCTGTCCTCAGACAGGCCTGTGAAGGGGGCTTAGCGAGCAAAGCCACCGTGCAGAGGAGGAGACCCGCTCAGAGAGGCTGAGCAGCAAGCCCGTGGCCACACAGCCCCAGCCCCAGCCCTCGGCCTCTGCCTGGCCCTGCCTTCCCCTCCAGTCTCCGGGAAGAGCCAGGCCCCCACAGAAAACCCTCCGCCTCATCCACCCTCAGATGCCCCTTTTTGGGGCACACATGATCAATCAGGACACCTGCCCCTTTGGGGTGGCCCTGGGCAGCTCCTGAGCAGTGTGCTTTGGGGCCCCCAGGATTTGTCACTGTAAGTGGATGAGAATAACGTGCCCGCTGCCCCTGGCCCTCTAAAATGTCAACAGGCCTGTGTCCAGCTGCCAGAAGGTGAGCTCACCTTTCGGGATGAACTTCAGGGAACTGCTAAATATTCAGAAGCGGGACTGCCCCGGCTTGGGGCCATCATTCAGGAACTCATGGCCCAGCCCGTTCCCACATTTGCCGCAGGACACCTGGCAAGACCACAAAACAACCATGCAGTGGCCCCTCCTGCCACCAGTACATGGTGTCCCCCCCCACACCCATTTCCCAAAGTAACTGCTGGTGGGGGAGGTCGATCTCCATCCTGGGCCTGCACAGGAAAGCGGTCCTGTTTCCCTGTTTCCATCAGGACCTCAGGCTCTCCCTGACCAACACCCCCTCACCATCCCCTGCTGCTGCACCCACCTTTAAGGCTTCAGGTGAGTTGCGCTCTGGACGCTTGTCCACACTATCAGCATGAATGGTCTCAGTGAAGGCGGGCCACGGGGATGAGTGTGCGTACTTTGAGCGGCTGGAGAAAAGCTCATAGCCACACTTGGCGCACACATAGACACCTGGGGGCAGCAGGAAAGGCAAAGGCAGATACATTGGCTCTACTCTCTGGGGTGAGCTGCCAAATCCTCACTCCCAGGAGAACAGAGCACTGTCCCCATTTGCAGGGTGGCCTGCACATCCTCCCCACACCCTCGCCTGCCACCCCCAGGCCTGGGTATTGGCTCCATGAGGCACACACCACTGCGCTCCCATCCAGTGGTTCTTAGCATGTGCCAGAGCCCAGGAGAACCGCTTTTCACTTATCTGATTGACTCTTATCAATAGTCCTGTGATGTACACCTTGCCATTTTAGCTTCGCTGTTTTAAGTAGGCAGGTGCCCATGCCCAACGTGGGGCTTGAACTCGTGACCTGGAGATCAAGAGTCACATCCTCTACTGGCTGAACCATCTGGGTGCCCCTTTTCCAGTTTCGTTTTGTTTTCTTAAGAGAACCTTTCCGGTTTAGAGATGAGGCAACTGAGTGATACAGAACACTCCACTCGAGGGTGTGCATTCAGGAAGGAGCCCAGTGGTCTGATGAGGATGCAACACATCCAGCCCTGCAGGCCCCAGCCCCCCTCTCTTCCCAGGTGGCCATTCCTGATGCCCAATGAAGCCTTAAGCTGGACTCCAAGCCACTGGCCTGCTCTCCACGTGGGAAGAGAATGGTCCCAACAAGAAGGTCTCCAGGACAGACAGAGGGCCCAGGAAGACAGAGGGCCAGGGAAGAGAACAGGTTTTAATCTATCCCCAAAAGATCACTTTGAGGGGGGGAGAAAAAGGTTGTAAAACTGACGTCCGTCACAGCTGACGTCCACAGATGCCCAGTGTCACAGCCCAGCCCCCTAGGGGGCTGACACCCAACAGATCCCACCCCAGGGAGAGCACTGCCCTAGTCTTATCTGTGGGCATGCTACCAAATTAGTCCATTACCAGGAGGCACAGCCCAGAAGGGCATCTCAAAGCCTGGGGCCAGGGCTGAGGGTTGGCCATGCCCCAAACCACCCCACCCCTCCTCCCCCACCTCCACTCAGGCTGTCTGGTCAAACTTCACTGGCACTGAGTGGCCTGGCAGCTGTCCCGGTTGCCCAACCCCAGGGCTCTGGGCAGATTGGGGAAGCACCCAGGCGGGCACATTGGGTCAGAAGGGAACGCTCTGTGCTTGCCGGCTTACCCCGCGGGTTCCAGGAACAGGGGAGGGGAAAAGGCTGGAGTATCATCAGCGGATGCCGTTGGACAAGATCCTCCATCGCGTCCCTCTGAAGTCCAGATCCTAATCTGGACCCTCCCCCCCCCACTGGCATCACCCCTTCCAAGTACCCTGACCCCACAGATTCCTCCGGGAAACCGCCTCGCTCACGCACTCCTCGAGGTCATCGAGGTCCCTCTCTCTAGTGTCCCCTCTCCCCTCAGGTACCCCTTCTTTCCAGGCCCCCAGCCCCCTCTCTCCTCCGGGACCCCCTTTATGCACACTCGCCCCCGTGGGGTCCGCCCTTCCGGGGTTCCAGGGCTCCACCGCCGCCCGAGGGCAGCGACGCCCCCTCTAACACGCGCTCCCGCCCCGCTGTCCTCCCAGGAGGTCACGGATCATACCCGGCTCAAAGTGGTTCTGGAAAACCTCGCCCCCGAAGAAGCTGCAGAACGACATGGCACCAGCGAGACAGCTAACGTCCGCCGCCCGCTACGGATCCGAGGCCGCTGGCCCGCGACAGCCGGGTCTGCACCCGGGGTTCCGCCCCTCCTCCCGAGGACAAATCACTGCCCGGAGCCTGCCGGGCAAACCAG